TGCTCTACCTCAAGTTTGGTGTTGAAATTCTTTCTTTCCAGCTCCCATTTTTCTTTTTCAACATTGAACTCTTCAATCCTTTGGCCCCTGACTTCAAGTTCGGCAATCAGATGGTTCATTTCAGATTCAAATCCCTTGAACATGATATTTTTCTCACCTTCAAATTTATCAAAGATATCATTCTTCATTTCCTCTAAATCTTTGGCTCGATCCCTTTCTCTTTGTATTTCATTCATGATCTCGCGATGTTCAGCTTTGTGTTTTATAATTCGCTCTCTTCTGTCAACCTCAAAATCTTTCATTTTTTGCTTTCCTTTCTCAAGGCTTTTGAGTAGACGGCTATTCTTTCCTTTCAGATCTTCAACTCGACTTTTCTCGATGTTCAATTCTCTGGTCATTTGTGCTGTTGATCGGCTTGATCCTGATGCTTTCCGGGATTTATATAACTTCTGGTATTTTTTTCTTTAATGCTCTGAATTCACCATTAACTTTTTCTTTGTTTTCTCTCAACATTGCACATTGTGATGAATGAAAGTCAATGTCAACACCCAACATAGCTTTATCTCGTCTCATTTGCTCTAATTCTCTTGACCAATCTTCTCTTTCTGCTTCAAACTCAGCTCTCAGAATTTCAATCTCTGATGGAACCACCTTAATGCGATCTTCCATAGAAATATCCTCAGTTTGGTCTGGTAGAGGAATATTTTCATTTTTCCTGACATATCTCCATTCCTCATAATCATGAGTTAACATTTCTTTTGCTGCTTTAGCTCGGATACAAAAAGTTATTTTCCAAGCTGTAAAAGCCTCCATAATATTTCTTTTATAATATTTTTCTGTGGAATGCGAACTCAGACGAATGTAATCCAAAAGTGACAGGTACAAATTGACGACCTTCATACTGTCTTATGACCAAAAGTGGTGCATATCCAATTCCTCCCCACAATCCGAGCAGCATTATCCAATTGTAATCACCACATTTGTAAAAGAATTCTCTTTGGATTTGCCATGGGGCTCGCCAAACAATGTCATTGCTTTGCAGATTTCGAAAGGCATTAATCCACATATCTTTCTTAATTTCTTTCGGCCATTCTTGCTCCAGAAATTCTTTTAATGGTGAGTAATCCGTATTAAAGCGCCGGTATGAAACCTTTTCTGTCCTCCAGAAATGGCTACGGATCCAAACATATAACAATTGGGCACACCCTGAGAATCGTCCACCTCCTAGCTTTCTACAAGCATTTAACGATCTGAAAGTCTCTGCTAGAATTGCAGAAGCAGGATTAATCTTTTTTGGTAGCTGCTCAAACAAATCTACTACTGCAGCTTCAATATATCCCAATACTTTTGGGAAGATGACCACACCATACATACCCAGAGCAAATAGATCGAATCGTACTTTAGTGTCAGGATGACTCTGAATAAGTTCTTTAATGTTAGTCCAAGCAATGCCTTCGCTTTCGTCTTTTTGTTTTGTACGGGATGCCACCCATTCTTCTCGTACTCCGGCAATCTTTGCTAATTTAACTCGAAAGGGTTGAGTTTTAATTGACTTTGAATAAATTCGATTCTCCAAAGCCCCTTCTATATGTAACAAAGTTGTGTATTCTTCAATAGTAGGGACCAAGTCCTCTTTATTGAGAGTGAAGCAATTGTACCCGGGATTTCAAAATTGAATTAGGGCTCGAAGTAAGTCATCATCAACTTCAACATAGAGCAAATATGGGATGTCTCCGTAAGTCTGATAAAACTGCAACTTTTTGTTTGAGTCCCAACTTTCCCAAATGCTTCGCAAATCTTGCATATCATTTCTTTTTAGCGAAACTGGAGCATAACTGGCAAAGTCCGATACATAGTCATCTTGCAGACTGTCTCCTCCTTGTCTTTGTAAGTCCTCAGCCCACTGTCTTACTTCTGAGTTTAGAATTATTTGATTTGAACACTTTTTATCCATGGATGAAGGCTTTCCAATGAGACAATTAACACGAGGATCAATGCCTTTTATCCTGTATGATGCTATGCAAACAGAAGAAATAAAGAACACACAAAAAGAAATGAATTAGTTTACATAATAAAGAAATTTAATAATAATGTCTACCTAAATATCCTTATTTAAACATGCTTTTTTCATAATTTAAATAATTTAAATTCACATGTAATTTAATCAGTAAGAAAATAAATAAATAAATTAAAAGGAAAGTTAGAATTCATTTCTCCTGTGAGTACACCTATTTTGGACAAAATTTCGGCATGGCTTCAGATCGGAAGAGTTTCTAGGGTTTATTATATGCAGGGTTTCAGATCTAAGAATAAAGGTACTCGAACTGTCCTTGTTGATGCCCCCTTGGGCTATCAAACCCTCAATCCTAGTCCATTACAGACTTAAACGGATCGAGTTCAATTCGAGGGGACACATTTCTCTATGCCTGACACTGAGAATAAATTCTCACGAAGATATAGAGCATATGAACCCCGAAAGTTACTTGCTAGGTCTGACACGGAGAATAAGTTCTCACGAAGACGTCGCTTTCACTCCTACTTAAAAGGGACAAACTCAATTATAGAGCTTTATGTTATGCAATGCAAGTGTTGTGTGTGAGGAGAAATGTTCAAACCTCTGACAGACAATAAATAATAAAATTTAATACTTGGAAAAAAAACATTAATTAAAATAACGTATAAATATTATGAAAATAAAAAATTTGAAAAGAAAGAATTAAAAATTAAATATATAAATTTTTAATTTTCTAATTGATAGAGACAATTAATAATTGGTTTTAAAGTTTGACCGTCCCCAGCAGAGTCGCCAAGCTGTCGTAACCGGTTTTCGCCCGGGCACGAATTTTTTTTTTACTCGGCGGGAAAAGAAATGTGAATAAATGGTTTAAAATAATTTGGGAGTCGCCATCGGCCTTTCGGGTCAGGTAGGTCGAATACCTAAAAATCATCCTTTAAAAGAGTTTTTAAGAAAACATCGATTAAAAGATAAACTGATCTGCGTTTTTAACCAAAAATTCGTTCTTTTTAATAATAAAAAGGGATTCGTGGTCGGTTACGTTTAGGGAAGGATTAGCACCCCTACAATGCCCAAAATTTGTACTTTTTAATTATAAATTGTCTCTATTATTGGAAATTTAAAAAATTCAAAATATATTTAATTTATAATCCTATTATTTTAAGATTATAACTATGAAAAATATACATTAATTTATATATATATTTACAAATAAAATATTTATTTATTTAGAAATATCAAAAAATGACTTCTAGGTGCCTTAAGACAGCTCTTTTCTTTGATATTAATAAATATTATAATAATTAAATTTTTTTTATAATATTTAATTTTAAAATACCAGAATAGGACATCCAGTTGTATTAAGACTGCCCTTTTCTTTGATATTGAAAAATAAATAAATATTAAAATAAAAATAATTTATGACTATATAATAATAATAAAAATAATATTTAAATATATAAATAAAATTAAAACATAAATAAACAATAATAAAAATACGATTAGAACTATATATTTAAAAGCAATGAAAATATTTAAAATTAATTACTAAATTATAATCTAATAAAATTAAATACTTAATTTAATTAATTATTTAAAATTATAGGGATTAAACATGCTATTTTTCTTATTTATTAATTTAGTGACTAAACTAAAATTATATAAAATTCAAAAATCAGATTAAAATAAATTAAAACATATGATTTGGGGTTAAAATATTAGTTAATAAAATTAGGGGACTAAATATGTTATTTATCCTAAATATTTATAAATACGGTTAAGGGCTAAAATATAAATAAATAAAATTTAGAGACCAAATTAAAAGGATTATAAATTCGATTTAGTGACTAAAATGTAAGGATTACAAGTTTAAGGGATTGCGGACGGGATTTAACCTTTAGTTAATTACACAAATAGCCCTCTCCAAAACGACGTCGTTCGGAAAGGGCTATTTAAAGCCCAAAACGGCTGGCCCGACCTCTCTCATTTCAATTTATCATTCTCTCTCTAACTGAGAGAGAATGATAATGCTCTCCCCTCTCTCTAGCTTCCCTCATCGGAGGGAAGCCGGCTATCGGACGGCAGCCGTCTGCCGTCGTAATTCCCACCGCCGGCCACTGCATCCTGTGGCCGGAAAAATTTATTTTTACACTAGAATGTAGATCGGACCGTCCTAATGACGGTTCCGGTGTTCCTTTCTTTTAAATAGCTCCCGATCGGAGCAAATCTAAGAAAACACCTTCGGTATTTTTGGTTTTCCAGCGCCGTTTGGGGTTCTCCGGTAAGGTAAACTCCTCCTTCTCTCTTCTCGGTTTGATTGCTAGTTGTTGTGAGTTGGTCTCTTTTTTTCCTTTTTGTATCTTTGCTCTCGGTTTTTTGGTTGCTCTTTCTTTGGGGTTTTTTATGTTCTCCGTTCTTCCTCTCTCCTTTTTTGTTGGCAGGGGGCTCGGTGGCTTTTATAGCCACCACCGGTGATGGCTTCGGACCGGTCCAAAAGGGGTTCTTCGGTGAGTCACCGGACTTCCAGTGGTGACTCACCGTTTGGGGGAGACGTGTGCGGCTGGAGTGGCTCTTCTAGAAGCCTTCGACGAGACGTGGCAGCGGTGGAGATGGTGGGAGCAGCTGCGGCGGCCGCGTGGCCCTAGGGTATCATACCCTAGGGTTTGCATCTGGAGGAGTATGGGTCGTTGGATCTCTCAGATCCAACGGCTGAGATTGAGGCGGCGGCTAGAGCTAGGGTTTAGAAACCCTAGCTGAAACCACAAATGTTTAGGGTTTCTTTTTGGGTTTGGGCCGGTTCTGGTTGGGCCTGGGATTTGGGCTTGTAACTATTATTTTTTTAATAATAATAATAATATATATTATAATAATTATTATTATAATAATAATTATTATAATAATAATAATAAATAAAAATGGGTAAAAAAGTTAGTATCTTCAGGATAAAGAAAAACAGAACTGTGATGAGGAATCAGACAGCCTTTACCAATCCTTCGTATGTTTTCTGCCCGATCCTTTGCTTTAAAACTAAGGTCACGGTTTAAACCATGCCTAACATTATCACCATCAAGGACGTAAGCCAACTTCCCCCTTGAATACAAGGCATGGCACAGAGCACACGCCAGAGTGCTCTTTCCTAATTCATAGACCATAGTAAGAGAGGGAGGGAGGGAGCAACACAAAGTGAAAAGGTTATGACGTTTGAACACACTTTTCAGTTTAGCAAGCAGAAACTAACAATGAACAAGTTTTTTTTTTGTTTTGACTTTACAGATTCGTCCACAGCTAAAAGACCAATCTTTCAGTTTTTTGTTGTTTTAACACATAAAAAAAGACTACTAAAGCTTGTCATAAGCAAGCACCCATCTTATATACGCAGGCAAAACAGAAAACATTATATAAGATAATGGAAATAAAAAAAATTGGCATGAATTTCACTATTCAAAGCTAAACAAACCTGAGCCACTGAGACCCGTAATCCATATGACACAACCCTTCTGCTTAAGCAACTCTTGCCAATTAAGTTTACCAATCAAACTTTTGTGCCATACTATGTTTGTTGCCTTGCCGTTAGTAGGTATCTGGTGGAGATTTTCACCTAGTTAGACGTTTGAAATCAGAACCCTAAGTGGATCCAATTGGAAAGAAACCAAATACTGAATAATTCACGAGTTTGCGCTGTCATCATTGTCAGTAATTCCACGGAATGGCCAAGTGTTCATACGAATATTATAGAACAGTGTTTCCAAAAATGAGGAATTCATTACTAAAATGATCGGCATATAAAGATACTGTAAAAATTATAAATATTCAAATCTGAAAGGCTGAAGCTTAAGGATTCAGACGTATACAGGTGATTTATTCGGCACTGTCATCAGAAAAGCAAGAGCCCAAGCTAAGATGTATAATCAAGGGGTTTATGTAACCAATTACTTCCCCTTTTTGAACAATATTATTAATCTTTCAGATGAGGTGTTGTGGTTGTTCTCCTAATCTCCATTTCAATCTGGAATATCTACCATTTCACAAAATTGGCCAAACAATTTTACTTGACGATAACTAATTTACAGCAGAGTCGTAAATGTTAATGCTTGCAAGTCTGCAAAACCCAATTCAGCTGAAAATAACTTAGATATATCTCTTCATCATTCTACCAAATTTCTTTTAAATATACTCCTAACATAAAAGTTCTTTTATATGTAGAAGATTTGGCCCTTTTATACATAAATAATAGGGGGGGGGGGAACAAATATGTTCTTTAATTTTCTTTAAAATGGTATAAAAATCCTGAACCAATAAAATTAAACACACGACCCATGAAATTTTCTTTTTTAAAACAATAGTACCAGAAATAGCAGCAGCGGGATCAGGCGCAATCGGCATAGACGATTCCTCCGTCGCCTGAACCAAACTCAGCTTGGCATTGTTGCTTCTGCTCAACCTCACAGAAAGCGACGACGCCAGCAACGGAAACTTTACGAAGCTAGCCTTATCCACTGGTACCAAAGGCCCATCATCGAAAATGGAAGAAGAACAACAAATTGCCGGCCGTAGAGCCTTGAGCACAACCATCTTGATTATACTTTTTTAAAAGAAAAAAAAACAATGGTTGTGAGTTGAAACAGCCAAACAGGAGGAGTTGACGGCAAAAGACGTGATTAAAAATCCAAATTCCTTTTGATTCCATGATTTATAAGATGAAGAAAGGACGTAGAATGGCTGGGTTCTATTATTTTATTTTACTCGATTTTTAATCCACCTGTAATTCTCACATTTCTGTTTGGATAAACTTCCAATTTGGGTCATCCATCTATTACATAGTTTCTATTTTGGTCACTTAACTATTATTTTTCCAAACTCAACATTATGTTTTAATTCTATTTTGGTCACATATTGTTAAAAACTTAATGGTGATGTTGATGTATCATCATAAGATAATGTCATGTCAATATTAAAATATAATAATAAAAATGATAATTTGGTATCAACGTTAATATTTTAACAATAAGTAACTAAAACGTAACATTATCATAATTTTTTTAAAAGTTATAATTAAATAATCAAAACAAAAACTAAATAATAGGTAGAAGACCAATTAGAGAATTTACCCTTCTTTTAAAGACCGGAGAGAGTGGTGTACACTGGAAATGTGGACAATGGAGAGTTGATGGGTTTTTTAAATTTAAAAACCTTTTTTTATTCATTTATTACAAAAATTACCCTCATCAAGAATAACTTAGAAAAATGTCCCTCAAACTATCCTCGTAAAAATACCTCACGTTCTGTAAAATACGTTGAAAGATTCTTTGAAGAACACGAGATCCATTATTAAATTTAGTAAAAAGACTTCGCATTTTGCAAAACATAACGTCAATGAGGATTTAAATTTAACATAAGACTAGGCTATATCAAAACAAACTAGTTTTGCTCAATGTGATTTAAGCGTTGATGTTTAACCCATGGGACACGATTTCATGTTCCATACTTTCCTTTTGTGGGATTCATTTTATTCTACTAATTTTTCATCTAATCTAGGGTGACACGTGTTACCATATGATTGGGTGTAAAATAAAATAATTAAATTAAAAAATATCTTCATTCATGTTGTGACACATGTCACAATCGGAATAAAAAAATAAATTTATTTAAATTAAAAGTCTGTTTATATCGTTGTAATTAGTTTTCTAGAAAATGAATTACATTTTTGAAAAACATATTCCTTTGTTTGGATGTTGTTGTGTAAAATGTTTTCTACTATTTGGTTAATTTTTCTGAATATAATTTCCAACCATCCATTTTTTATAATTTTTTTATTTTTTATTTTTAAATTTTATTAAGTTCATTGTACTGTTATAAAATTATATTTTATAAATTTTTTAGTATGAAGTAGAACGTATTATTTCTATAAGTATGTTAAAAGATTAAGTCATATTTGAAGATATCTAATGAGTATATACGTATTTGATTAAAAAAGCATTCCAATGAGAATTGTTCAATATTTCACCATATTGGTCCTTTCTGAGATTTCTAAAAGTTTGACAATCAATAAAAGTCGGGTAAATAGCTATAAAATAAGAGTATATACGTATTTGATTAAAAAAGTAAAAACAAGATTGAACTTAAGGTTAAGTTACATATCCAGTGTTCACAGCAGAATCGTGATAAACATCGCCCAACAAAGTAGTATTTACATTTTCTGGTGTTGTTTGAAAGGTATAAAGACTAAAAGTTCGAGTCGAAGCCATTCGATTACAATCTGCAACATCATCGACGAGCCACCATTTGGACCTACTCCATAGCCAATCGTGACAAGCTCAAATCTGTAATCAGGGTCTGTAGTTACTTCTAAAGCATCCTCAATCATTCCTCGTGCTTCAAGGAAATGAGTCACACTATAAATCAAAGCAAATCATCAATTAAATTAATGAACAGTAAATAATCACAAACTTAAATAGAGAGAAATTGAACACAATAAAACTTTAAAATAAATCCTTTCAGAGAATCGATACCCAAAGACAAAGACCAGTGAAGTTTTGAAGCCAACACTACATCTATTTCAGCCTCAATATCATTAAAAAATCAATTTTCTCTCCTTTTTCCAACTTAGCAGCATCAACAATGAAAAAAATATGCAAACAAACAATACCCAAATCTTCATTTAGAGTAAAAATTAAGAAAATAGGGAAAATATGAAGGAAAAAAAAAAGATTCAAGATGTTTACGGTAAAACATATTTAGGGTAAAACAAAGAGGTGGCGAGGAACTAGGGATTTTAAAACGACTTATCAATTTTAAGATGTTATGGTTACATGAGAAGATGAACAGAAGATATCGCTGACGAGGGAGAGGTGACGGTGATGACTTTTGGTATGATACTTTCGAGGCGTTAAAGAGAAACTGAAGTGAAGAAGTGAGGAACTGAGGATTGTAAATAACTTACCAATTTTCACTCGGTAAGTCATTTTACGGGAAAAAGAGGATGTTTTCCGTTGACCCGTAGTTTTCCTTGAAGCAAACATTAGAAAACTGTGAAAATGTTTTCCGTCATTGGTTTTTCTAAAAAAACACACCCTAAATTAAAATTAAGATCAAAATGATATAATATACAAATAATAAGGATTGAATGTGTAATCATGCCAATTTTTTAATTGTCACGATAGCACAGGACAATACTTCCGTCAACTGTTAATGACATGTGGCTTTATTGATACCAATTATATAGTTAAGTATTCTGGTTGATACAATTAAAAGAACGATAGTAAAATTAAAAAAAGCTAAATAATTGAGTGATTAATTATATAGTTTATCCAAATAAATAAAAAGGTTTCTTCCTAATAAAAAAGTCGAGTTGATGATGAGGTCCAAAATCCCACGTCACGGTCACTCATAATTGGGCAGACTCTAAACTCCCGACGCAAGGTTAAATTGTTAATATGTATTTATCATTTACGTTTTATAATTACGTAATTATTATAATCAGTTAATTCAATTTAATAAGTTCAATTTTTAAGGACGGTAATGATTAAATAAAATATATGATTTAAAGTCACTATATATTCCGCAAAAGCTTTAAATAAGAAAAATATATATTTATTATGGTCACAAAAATATAAAATATTGATCATTAAATTTATTGTAGGTTAGAGGGTGGGTGAGACTGTAAATAAAAAAATACGAAGGATTTTCTTAAAATTTTATAATTTATAAAAATATCAAATTTATAATTTCAAAATATTTTAATTTTAAAATTAAAATATAAATTTTCAAACAGTTTTAAAATTTGTCTTATTTTTAATTATTATTTAAAAAAATTAAAATAAAAGTTTTGTTATAATTAAGAAGTCAAATATGATATTATTTATCAATTTAATAGGTTACATTATTCACTTAATAACATTTGAGACTAATAATGCAGTTCTCATTTTATTTTATAAATTTTATAATAAAAATATCATTTTTAATAATTATTTTGTAAACTTAATCTAAAATATGTGAAAAATGGGCCTTCTATGTACCAAACACAGCACTAAATTATTCACGAGGTAAAGGTGACCCAACCTGATCATCATAAATCCATCAAATTCAAGATGAACCCTTCAAAACTGGAAACAATGGTGCATCTTAGGGGACTTCAGTCTTTACATCTAGGGAAACCCTTAACAATTTCAAAATTTGAAATTTTTGAACTATTTTTTTCTGGTTAAATACTGAAAACTGATGAAAATAATAATTGTATATAAAAAATGATGCAATAAATATGTTACTATTGAGGTCAAGGATGAATGTTTATGTAACAGAATTTGAATTAGATTTGACATCATACGTGAATAATTTGAAAACACTACTTACGAATTTAATTATTTAACTTTCTTGATTTTAATAGTGATAGCAAAAATAATACTTGATACATGAATTATGAATATGGTTGCACAGAGAAAAACATCAGCTATAAAACCAATGTAAGATTCGAACACTATTTATACCAAATCAAAATCTCTAATCTTCAGTTTCACATCAAATCTATTTTCCCTACTCTATTCTCTAAAAAAAATGGACTATTTCACGACTCAATATCAATATGGTTGATAGCTGGGTTGGGTGAGAAATACTGCTGCTTTTAAGACTATAAAAATGGAAGTCAATATTTCACCTGGTTAGTTCTCTTCTATTCAACGGATAGATCATCCTCAACTGGAATGCACTATTCCATTTTCTGATATTGTTGAACTCTTCTTGTGATTAGTTCCATTTTCTGTTGCAGAATTTGATACCCGCAATGCGCTTTTTAGCCCTTTGATCAACCTCTGCCCAATATTTCTCTTGATTCTGGGACTGGCAATGGCTGAAGTCTCTGGTGTGGAAGATCCCAGGGCTCTTTCTTTTGGACCACCACTGAACCGGAAACTAGCTGAGGAAGGAGCTCCAAGATATGCTCTTTCAATTTTATTCCCTGAACCGTAATGGAAACTAGCTGACCGGCCCGACTCCAACACATCTCTAGACCCACCACCGGTTCCTTCAATAACATTCTCATCAGACTCTTGCAATATCTTTTTCATGCAAAGCAACTGTTTTTCCAGGGTTTGGATCCTGGAACTCGTGGCATCCATTGCTGCCTTGAGTTGAGCCGTTTCCCGCTTGGTGGCATCGCGTTCGAGGATTTCACCGAGGGTGATGTTGTCGTCAACGTCGTCGTTGTTACTGCTGGTTCTAGGGCGATGGCTACGCGATAAATGGTGATTGGCGGCCGAGAAAATGGTGCGGCGGGTATTGAGTTGTTCCACCAACATGGCTCGGACTACGAAACGCAACGGCATTCGAGGGTTTTGCACTGCATGTAAGAGGAGTTGAGGCGATAGCTTGTTGCAGTCGATGGAGTTACATATCTCCGTCTTCTTTTCCTCAGTCATCTTCTCGTTATGCTCCTGCTCAAGCAAGTTTTAGTACAAACTATAATCAACTAAACCATTTGCAAATCCATATGACCTAATATAAAATTATGTTTCTAATATCGAATTACCCTTTTAAAATGTTGAGGTTAGAAAATTTAATCTTTTCATAATTGAGAGGTATTTTGTTCATTTTTACTTGGAAGTTATCTCTACTTATTTATTCTTTTAAAAAAGATAATTCTTTTATATATTACATTGAAATTGAAATATAATAATTACATGATTTATGTATGAAATAGGCTCCTTTAATTGTACCCTAAAAAATCAAGTGAGCCCTTAATTTAAATTATGTAACTCATTGTTTGAAAAATAGTGGTTAAACAAGATATCCAACATTGAAAAATTAATAAATATTTAGTTATGAATTTTTAAATAAGAGTTCATATGATCTATGATTTTTCAAAATAATGACTCATTTAATAATGATTTTCTATTTAAGTACTTTAGATACAATTAGAGATTTTTTTTGATATACAAGCTTAATAATAAAAAATCAAGTCAATTAAATAATTGATTGATAATCTTAATTTGATTGTTGCTTGACACTATTGTTATTATAATATATAATATGAAATACCTAATAAATTTGTGATGATTTTTAATTTGAAATTAATAAGGAAAATTAAATATTCAAATTAATCAAAATCTAAGCATTACTAAAAATAATAGATAGAGACCAAAAAAAAAGCTGGTCCAACCTACACAATCTTAAATATTAAATGGACCACACACTACACCTAAGCTTCTAAATGCACCTATTAAAGAAGTTCATAAATGATTTTTTTCCCTAGTTGTTTAAACACTCTCATAAATACTAGATATATGACGAAACAATTAAATGGGAAATTATAATATTCTTTCAAAATATAAAAAAAAAATATTTATTATTTGTGATTTATTAATTTATATTTTTTAATTAAATTATGATCACTTTATTCATGAGAAGAAATTAATTAACATAAGTTTTTTTATTAGTATAAATCTATACAAATGTATTAATATTAAACTAATCATGTTATTAGTTAAGGAATAACTATGATCTAACATAATTAAAAACCAGTAGCAGTGTTCTTACCTCGAGATAAAAATCGACGATTCTATAAAGTAAATCGTGGTACTCAAATCGATGGTGCATAGACTCGGTAACGATTCTGAAATCCTCGGCGCGCAAAGAAATAACATCGTCAAAGTAACCGTCGAAGCCGTTCCCATCCTCCGCTAAATCCATAGCCTCTACGCATCTACTAACGAGGAACGACGTTGTTTCCGCCTCCGGGAGCAGCGTCAGGCAAGACCTGAAAACAATCGCCGCGTACTCTCCGTTGACGGCGATGAATCGATGGAAGTAATTCTCGGTCATCTGCTTCAAGTTATTGTCGCCGTCACCTTTGGTCTCCGTCATCCCGAGGAGCTCCGCTGCTACCAGGAGGGACGCGACGTTGAACGGCGTTACGAGGAGATGTGTCCCGTAACAAAAATCGACAACGAGAGAGAAGGTTTCGACAGTTATGTTTAACGGCGGGGATAACGTGAATTCAGATTGATGGTTTAATTTCCGCCTTAAATAAGTGCTCCTGTACGACAGAGGATCCTATGAAGAAAAACAAGATTAGTTAACCGGAAATCATTCATTAATAACATAATAGCCAAAACGCAATAATTTATTTACTTTGTTGGGGGTTGGTAACGTAACATTAAACACTATATCGTATGGTATACCCCTTTAACGTTATACGTTCGGAATTAATACGAAAATGACTATTCTTTCACTTCATCATTCATCCAACATTTCTTGTTATTACAAAATCTGGAAAAATAAATCATTAGAGATACAAGAATGTTGCTATTTTCCCTTACAATCTGGGTTTAATTCAAAATGTTTATATTCTTCAAATAAATTAAAAAACTTTCTAGTAATCATTAAACCCAAGAAGGAAAAAAAACACATTTTGGATGAAACTCAGGCAACCAATCCAGATCAAATCAATCAAGTAGTACATAAATATATTAGAAAATTCCCAAATTGAAAAAGAAAACATACCTTATGAAGATGAAAAGCAGTTCCCTGTACATGTATCAATACGTCAGTTTTACACCCCATTGCCGATGACCTTTCAATATAGAATACCCAGAAATAAAATAAGATCAAAATTGAGAGAGAGAGAGAAAAAAAACTCATGAAAAAAATAATTGAAGTAAAAATAATACCAGGCTTCTACTCTTGAATGGAGTGGTGAAGGAGGAGAAGAGACAAGTGAAGGAGAGTTATCATCCTCGTCATGGTTATCATCAAAAGCTTCTTCTTCATAAATGGTTTCTACGACTCCTAAAGTTCTCCAGGGCTTCATTTTTCGAAGGAAAAAAAAATCTTTTGTGTTTTGGTTTCAGAGAAGCAGTTTAGGGTGGTGATTTTAATTTAATGGTGAGTAGGGATTGGGGGTGGGAAATTCTTTTGCCGGTAGGGATATTAATGGTTGCATGTGATGACTCATAAATGCTAGCTTTTAATTCCCCTCTTCTTCAAATCAAAATGTTTCGGAATTCATACTACTCTCTCGTCTAAATGGTTTTGGAAACTTTACTTTTTACTGTAAATTTAGAAATGACAATATGAGAACCATTCTTAGGTTATGCAGCTAATATTAAAAAATTGACATATGCACGAATTGCTAATAAAAATCTAATAAATCATTGCACCAAACTAAATATAAAAAGTGGTAGGTTTAACCAAAATAGGATGATCCATTTGGTGAATATGTTTCCAAAACCTAAAGATTGAGAATAGACCTATATGCTTGCTATTGGCTCATTGCACCTGATTTTCAGTGAATAATTTTATTACTTGGGCAAAGAATCAAATCATAGATTTTTTACAACCATCTTTAGATCTATTACCAATAAATTAAGCAAGACGTGAAGGGTGTCTTCCACCTAAAAAGAAATTAAGCTTAAGGGCGAACTTTGTCCCTGTAGTAGATCTAATTTATTATTTTTGTCTATATCGTATTTTCGCATTTATTTAACCCTCAAAATTATTTAATTGAATCAATCTATATTCTTCTCCTAACTTAAAACCCTAAATTTTAAATCATAAGTTAGTATTTAAGGGTTATGATTTAAAAGTAATGGCGAATGATTTAGGGTTTATAATTTAGAGTTTTAAATTAGGGGTAGGGTATAAAACGATACAATTGAGTAACTTCGATGGCTAAATAAATATGAAAATACGATAAGAGCGAAAGTGATAAATTTAATCAGATAAACAAAAGTCATCCTTTTTGCCAAAAAATTGAAACGGAAGTTAACAATTCGACTCTTGGAGTCGGACTTTATTTTAGTTACACACATATCATTATTTTGGAAAGGGACTTATTTGTATTTGTATAAAATTAAGTGGCTTTTATATAATATAAAGTGTACTGTTTACAAAACTGTTAAGGTTGGATGAAAATGTCACTTATTTTCTGTAGCTGAAAAATACTCTGAATTCTCCCTATTTAAATAGAAAAACAATTACACTCCTATTATTATGTATTTATATTTTTTTTATTTCTAAATATAAAATAATAAAATTCTAACTACGTTGAAATTATATTAAAAATTGAAAAGTTCAAATTACAGTTAGATTTTTTTTAAAAAGAGTATATTGATTTTAATTATTTAATATTTATTACACATTATAACGTCTTATTAGATCCATTTAAATTTTTTTTTAAATTACGAGTGAGTTGGGGTTAGATGAAATGGAAAAATCTTGCCCCACCCACTTAACTGTTGGGGCAATTGTAATATTTTAGAGAAAAGGGCATTTCCAATCAAGATATCTTGCACTTCAGATTTATTGTTGGATGTTTTATTAATCAATAACAAGTTAATATATATATATATATAATTATTTTTATCATGCATATGTATATAACATAAAAGAAGGCAACTGGAATAAACAAAATCATCCATTCACAGCTATGGAGCACTAGAAATGAATAATCATCTGTGAACCATTTGTTGCCACCCCCAGGAAATTTTGTTGAAGTATCAAATCCCAAAAGCATCATTGAATAGCAAATGAAAAATCTAATTAGGGTTTGAGAGCAATCGCCAATCCGAATCGGGGACTTTTTTCCAAGGCCTTTGTGTCAAGCTCACCAGAGATTGTCAACAATGACTTCGGAACGACTTCATGCTGCAGCAGTGCTCCAAGCCTCCCATGATTGTTGAGCTTAGCTTTAATCAGTGTGAGATGATCAACAGCATATGCCCCTCCAACAGTAAATGTGTTATCGTTTGTGGAAAACCTTCGGCTGATCTCACCCACAGCGGCACTCTTCTTTAGCTGATCCAGATAATGCACGTATGATGCTTTAATACTGTCTCCCTTGTCCCCCCTGAAAGTAAAATGAGAGACAAATCAGGGACAGAGATTAGAAAATTCTTGATTAAATTCGCTTCTGAAACCTAGTGGAATAAATATAGTATACAGAAGCTTACAGAATTATCGAAGCACACGAATCTGGTTTTGTCACACTAATACCAGCAGTGTACTTCGTAAATTTGCCATAGGTGGTATCATAACCTGCCTCTGCACCAAAAGCAATCGTGGGTGTCCCAATGGTTGCGGTGACATCAACACCTGGTGTCTGGTTCAAACCAATTGTTGTTGTAAAGGTAGCATGGTGATGGAAATACTGAACCTCCAACTGTAACATAGCAACTTCGAAACTTTAAACATCAAAATCATCATGATAAAAATCATTTCACAGAAGGGGCAGCTTTATACCTTTCCAGAGTTATAATCAGGTACTTTGAATGACGCAATAGTCTTGGTGGATGGAAGAATCTCAGTGAAAGTAAGTGTTGTCGTGATCTGGACAAATAATGTAAGATGCTCCGCTGGATTAGGCTACATGTTATTTAATACTTTCAAAAGAAAGGAAGTAAAAACCAAAATAACCCACATTAGAGTCAGTATCGACTTTAACATCAAATTGAGTGTTCCTGTACTTGTATAATGCAGCAATATCCCCAGTTGAAAGACCTCCTTTATTAAGAGCAGTTGATGTAAGAGCCTGAATATAAGGGGACGAAAAGTAGAATAAATTAGAACAACAAAGACCTGTGTGGTGTTTAATTTGTAGGATATAGCTTAACATAAACTACATGAAGATTCACTAACCATTGCAGACAAACCAAAATACAAACCGCCCAACAATAAATTAAAAAAAAGTACGAACTAAAACATTTTGTTTGGTTATCTATAGCATTCAGTTTGAATTACACCTTTTGAATAAAAAAAAGTGTAACAGAGCATGCCTATTCAGATGAAAACTATCTGAAGTTAGACACAGCTTCACCCAACAATAACTTGGAACAAGTGTAGATGTAAATAAATTACAAAGTTAAATTACAATCATGATGTCCAAGTTCAAAGATAAAGCTGATTCATGAGAAAACCAGGGAAATCACCCTAAGACAGATTTCTTTTACATGCAAAAGGATAAAGAACAAGAATATTGATTACACATGTACTATCTACATTGAATTATTGGTTAGACCTTTTTCTACTCAAATGCACAATTTACATGAATAGAGCCTGAAATATAACAATTGGATTAAACATATATAAAATTGCATAATATTACGCAAGCGTTAGTTTTACACCAACATAGATCCCTCTGTGTATCAAGTGCTAGCAAATCCGCATCTAACAATAAGCTATCAACCCCTCGCTACTGCTTAAACATTAATCAAATTCAAGGTGTGAAAGAGATGATTTTGGCGTACCACTCCAGCGCCAGTGTAAGTAGAAACAGTGAACTTCTGATCCGAGGTATAATCTTTGGTCAACAGATCTGAACATTCAAAACAAAAAAAAACGAAAACAGGTAATCAAAATATCGAAAGATCGAACGGTGGAGGAGGAAGGAAATGGAGGATTCGATTACCTTTGGCTTTCTTTCCGATATCGACGAAGAGTCCCGGTCCCTTATGCTTGCACAAAGCCTGGGAAAGATCTGAGAAATTGAGAAGAACAACAAAAATGGTGAAATCGAATCGAATCGGAAAACGGAAGGGCTTATTATTGGTAGAGACGAAAATGAAAATTCAAAAAACATTTTTCAAGTGGGTGACTATCGGGTGTTACCGTTCTCGGGAATTGCCAGTGTTTCGTGACCGTTTGATTTGATTGAGACTGATCAAATTCAATCTTCGTGAGCTACATTACATGTGTGTGTGTTTTTTTTTTTTTGAATTGAAGTGGAAAAAGGAAAACATGTCTTTTACGAAAAGCTCAGATTGAGCTTGTCATTTTCCAGTAAACATGAGATGGCAGAAGGGGGGGGGGTCTTCAAAGAATCTTAGATCATAAGCGAGAGGGCTTGAGAGCTTAGCAATGGCATCAGCCGAGGAGTTATCTTGCCAAGGAATCCAGTGGAGAGTCGTTGCCCAAGCACGCTGCCGAAGCTTAACAATTGCACGAACCAGAGGGATGGAGCTGGAGGCCGCATCATGATTGTTAATGAGTTTGGCAGCTTCTAGGGAGTCCGTTTGAACCATCAGGAGCTCGAAGCCATGATTCCAAGCTACTTGGAGTCCGATGAAAATTGCCCAGAGCCCTGCTAGAAGGGGTTTAGAATTGCCGATCGCCTTGTTGAAACCAAGGATCCAAGAGCCTTCATGCATGGATTTAAATAGTTTTTGTGACTACGTTTTTAGTTTCGTCGCGTTTATCACGATTGCATAAATAATGAATGTCATTATGATTATTGCGAGTGTCACGATCGTGATTTTTTTTAAGTTTCGCACAACTTACTTTAAAACATAATAATTATGATTATAATTATAATAAACTATTTTTAATGATTTTTAAAATATTTTCTAAACTAAAATGATATATATATATATACAGTTTAACCAAATAGATTACTAAATATTAAAATAAAAATAAAGATCACAATATTAAATGAAATTTAAATAAACTTAAAGAACAAAAAATGACTAAGTTAAATATAATTAAAATAAAAATGTAAAATTTGAATTGCATAAATTTATATTACTGAAATTAGATCTAAATTAAATTAAAATTAAAATTTACATTCTAATCTAAAGATTAAATTATAGATTAAATTATAAATTTTAAAAAGTAAAATGATGACAAATTAATATATCATTTAAAATTAAATTTAAAAATTTATTTAAAAATTTAAAAAAATGGAATTTGGAGTGGAACGACCCAAAACTCTTAAACTCTTCCACTTTAAAAGGGTTGAGAAAGCTCTAGAAGCTTTCATTGTTTTATTCTCTCCTCAACTTCCCTACCCTTTCATCTTTTCTAATCATAAAAATAATCTACTTTTACAGAGTTGATAACTCTTGATATGCTCTATTTTTTTAATTTTAGAATTTAGAGATTTTTTTTTATAATACATGTTTGAGACTTTATTGTTGGATTCAATTCAGTGTCATTTAAACTGAGTTTGGATTTTGGATTGGTATTTTTTTTTTCTTTTGCAGGGGTATTCCTTGCATTTTTAGAATGAAAATTTCAGTTTTTCTATTTTTTAAGTAGCAGTCAATTAATGTTGATAGCATCCCGTTACCGACACTATATACCGGTACCTGTTAAATTACGAGCACAACGGACTGCTAATGACATGAATCTACTACCTATCGTTAAATTCATCAATATTGGTTTTGGTCAGGACGTTATTGTGTGTTTCGTTCCGCTATTTGAATCCCTGCCTTAATGGTCACGGAAGATGCCACCAATCGAGCCTTTACCTGAAGAAGAGCAAACCTCACCATCCACACGTAGACAATTCCAACTAGGAAGGGGGTTCTGCCGGACTGGAATTATTGGGCAAGTGACGTTGGGGCTGGAAGTTTTGAGCTTGTTGTCTATATGGTAGCGGGACCAGGTGATGCTTTTGGAGATAAACGTTTGAGCAACCTGCAGATTATTATTGAAAACATACTCATTCTGATTCTTCCAAATCTGCCAGAGAGTTCTAAGGGATTTCAGCCGAATAAGCAACAATATTAGAATTTATAATTGTAGACACCCAAGCTTGAAGATCAACATTATAAAATTTGGGAGAGATAAGAGAAAGATAGATGAGCGACCAGACTTCCTTTACGTATTTACAATCGCGAAGAGCATGGAGGATCGATTCTTGAGCATCGTTGCAGAGCGAACATGAGGGGTCATGGCTTAAGGTACGGTGGCAACGTTCAAGGTTTGTCATCAATCTTTGTTTAAGAACAAGCCATAAGAATAAACGCAGCCTCTGGGGAACGGGGAAGGACCATTAGAGTTCCAAATCGGCAGCGGAGTATCCCAGTAGGATTGTGACCAGTGTAAACAGATTTTACATTAAAATCATGTTTGGCTGAAGTTCTCCATATAATGCAATCATCAAGTTTAGCTGGATCAGGGCATTTCACATTGATAATATGAGAGACTGCTTCGATAGAGAAAATGGAATGAAGCATCTCGATATTCCAACTACCATTGGGCGTCAAAAGATTCGAGAAATGAAGATGGTCGATATTAGCTATGGGGACACGGACATGGTCCCGAAGAGAGCCCAGAGAGGGGAGCCGAACATCATCAAACAAGTGGACGATTTTCCCATTGCCGATGGACCAAGCTATGCTATCCTTAAGAACATCCCAAGCCTTAGCAATTGCTCTCTCCAAAGAGGGGAACAATTTTTTCGAGGGATTGAATCGGGACAAATAGCAGCTCGTATTTTTGCCTTCTTACCCACAAAGTATCCAGATTGGTAACCAAGGAGTAACCAAGCTTTAGAATAAAAGCCATGTTGAAATTAAAGACTTTTCGAAAGCCCAGGCCTCCATTATTAATCGGTTGACAAATAGTTTCCCAATTAACCGGGGAGATTTTTGGGTGAGAAGAAGTGAAGCCCCATATAAATTGCCAGATAAGCTTTTTGATCTTATTACAAACAGTGCAAGGAAACATCGAAGTTTGCATGAAATATATCGGGATGGTTGCAAGGACATATTTGGCGAGGGTAATTCTACCCGCCGTAGAAAGGGACATGGCTGCCCAACTACTCAGTCGATTGCACAATTTTTCAATGATGAAATTGTAGTCCGAACACTTTGGTCTGCTATGGAGGACGGGGACCCCTAAGTACTTCCCAAGAGAGTCGACAACTTGAAACCCAAGAAAACTACAGATATCACTCTGAACTCAAAATCAGTGTAGGGGGAAAATAAAGAAGTTTTCCGATCACTAACACGATGATCAGAAAAGGATCCGAAAACTTGCAGAATTTTCTGAATGCAAATAGCTTGGGAGATGTTCACCTTGGAATATAAAATAAGATCATTGATGAAAAAAAAGATGATAGATCAGGATGCCATTTTTCTCAAAAGTAAAAGGAGGCCAACGACCATCAGAAACTGCATGATTTATTAGATGCCCCAACCTTTCCATCACCAGAACAAAGAGATAGGGTAACAGTGGGTCCCCTTGCCGGATACCTCTCTCAGGGATAATAGTTTGGAAAATGAGACCATTCCATTGGACCTGGAAAGTGACCATGGTGATACATTCGCAAATGATCCGACATATGTTTGGAGGGAAGCCAGCCTCAACCATAGAGTCCTTGATAAAGTCCCATTTGACTTGATCAAAGGCCTTCTCGAAATCTACTTTGATTGAGGATTTCATACCGTTTTAATTAAGTTTTCTCAACTCTATTACATAGGAGCAATTTTATTGGAATTGATGATTACTTGAGTAAACCCTCTTTGTTGCTTTCTTCAACTAATACAGCGAAACACTCTTCCTTTTCTTGCAAACTTTCTACCTTCAAGTACTTCCTACAAGGTAAAAAAATTAAATGAAGATTCATTCTTGGTTTTGGGGTTTAGAAATATACATAGTTTTCTTCTGATCCCTCTTTCCTGGTGTTGAAACTGAAATATAGTGCGGCTTTGATACTAATTTTTGCCTCTGGAATGTGGATGGACCAATGTGGGGTGAGTGGGGACGGTCGCCCCCTAAAAATTTAAAATTATATTTTAGATTTTATCTATGTATTTTCTATTGAAAATTTGTTTTCGCCCCTCAACATTTAACAGGAAGTGGAGTATTTGAGTGTTTAGAAGAGGCTACAATTTTTGTTCATGAAACTGGGATCCAAGCGTGAGTCATTTCAGACTGATGGAGACAATGTTAGATGCTTTCAAATATGAGAGAAGTTACGATATAAGTTTTGTTTTTCTCTTTTCTCTCTTCTCTCTTCATTCCATCTGTGTGCCGGAAAGATAGCATGCATGTTTAGATGATTATGCTGGGTGTGAAATTCTATCTGCATGCATAAGGTATGAACTATGAACCCACATCAATCTGTCATCGATCTCATAGCAGCTCCACGTCCACTACGACCAACACCCAAGAGGATTGGGATTCGGAGCCAACAGCAGAAGCATACAATATTTATTGGTCCAAAAATCAATAAAACATAAGCCCAATTTCATAAAACCAGACATTTAGGCCGTGGGTCGAGAGTTCAAAATCTAAACAGTCGACAGTTCCAAAATTGGACCAGACAGGAGACCATGAAAGAAAAACAATGAGGTATATTTTAACTAATATGGTATGATGTGAAAGATGTGACTCAACATAGTGTAAGTTGTTACATTGAAAGATATGGTACACTTCAATTTCTGTTTTTCTTGACCTTCTCTGTCTCGGTTGTGTCAAAATTTCCACTCCTTTTACGGGGGCAACGTCGGTCTTAACGCAAAAACGCAGCAGTAAGAAAATTTTGATTTTGATGTACAAGGAAAGAGAAAGTGAGCCTAACTTTGTTTTCTTTTGGGGTTTAAGATGCGCCGAAGCTTTAGCCTTTTGTTATTGGGTATGAAATAAGGTTACCCTGACCCACAAATCAAAGCTAAGTATTAATTAAACATCAAATTGGAAGCCCTAAAAGATGGGTTGGAGTCAATCTAGGTTGTTCTTCATCATATCTTGAAAGATCACCATAGACAAAGTGGGAGTGGACTCACCTTAAAAGATTCTCATTATTGCCTCTTATTTATTTATTTTTTTAATGGTCATTTGTTTCACATACTTAAACTCTCACATCACTTTATACCCACCATCAATCTTCACTGTCTTCCTTCTTTTTTTTATTATTTTTATTTTATCATTGACGCATACTTATTTGATGCATTAACGATAAAATAAAAAATTTACAAACGAATTTATCAAACTCAAAAAATTTGCCGACCATAATTTCCTCCACCTTCGTCATACCTAAACCACCCACATCTTTTCAAGTATAGGCCGAAATAATGACATTAACCCTATTGACTTTTGCCTAAGCTTTTATTTATTTAATTATCTTGAGAAAAAAAAAGAAAAAAGAACATGATGTGAACTTGAAGAAAACCTGTTCACATAAGAGAACCTGTTCACATAAGAGAACCTGTTCACACTAAACATATATTGTTAATTAATTAATCAATCATTATTGGTTGAGTTAAGCATGCTTAAATGAAAACAACCCCAATTGGAAGTTGGGAACTACTTGCCTAACCTCTTTTTGCCTACTTGAACCCCCTTTTTGGGGGTGATTTTAGACTAATCATCATTGTCAACGTGTATGCTTTAATTGTTAAATGCTTTTTGATGTCATTGA